TAGTATATGTGATAGAACGTTTTTGTCCCCCGCTTTCGTGAAAGCAAGGGGACATTAAATCTCATCCGTCTGTCTGTCTGTCAGTCTGTCCGTCCGTCACAAAAACTTTAACCTTGCCCATAACTTTTGATTTAGTGGAGCTATGACTTTCATATTTCATATGTGTATTCCTTGTGACAAGACCTTTCTTTGGGTACCACCAAATTTGACGTTTTGACCTTGAACTTGGAGTTTGACCCACGTTTACACAAAAATTCCAAACCTTTTCTTTGGCCATAACTTTTGAATTGTAGGTACTAGGACGTTCATATTTCATATATGTATTCTTTGTAGCAAGACCTTTTATTGGGTACCAACAACTTTGACCTTGACCTTGGAGATTTCAGTACTTATGAAAAAAATTAACCTTGACCATAAGTTTTGAATGGTAAGGGCTAGGGCTTTCATACTTCACATATATAATTCTTGTGAAAAGACCTTTCATTGAATACCATGAACTTGGACCTTGACCTTGGAGTTTGACCTTCTTTGCAAAAAGTTTGACCTTGGCCACAACTTTTGAACAGTAGATACCAGGACTTTCATATTTCACATATGTATTCTTTGTAGCAAGACCTTTCATTTGATGCCAACAACCTTGACCTTTTGACCTTGACCTTGGAGATTTTTTGTACTTATGAAAAAACTTTAATCTTGACAATAACATTTGAATGGTAAGGGCTAGAGCTTTCATACTTCACTTATGTAATTCTTTTGAGAAAACTATTCATTGGATACCAAGAACATTAACCCTTTGACCTTGAGTGATAATTTCTAAATAGATGACTCATGCTAGGGTGTTCATATTAGACACAAAATGTCATAAAAATTACATCTCCCTCAAAAAGACACCGAAAGCGGGGGACCTTTGAATTTGCTTGTTCCCCGTGTTTGTGACATCACAATGTGAAAATGACGTCATAATTACACACATAATCACACTTGTGACAAAAATGGTTAACTATATATAACGTATGGAACGCCAAATTAACATATATTCAAATATTTGAACCTATCTTCAAATAATTGCACCTATCTTTAAATAATTGTACATATCTTCAAATGAATAGAAGATAGGTACAATTGAATTAAAGATAGGTACAATTGAATTAAAGATAGGTACAATTGAATTGAAGATAGGTATAAATAATTATACCTATCTGTAAATGTTCATACCTAGGTACAACTGAATTATACCTATCTTTAATGGAATTACACCTATCTTCATTTCATTTAAAGATAGGTTCAATTGAATTATACCTATCTCTAATTCATTTGAAGATAGGTATAATTGATTTAAAGATAGGTTCAATTAAGACAAAGGATTTGAAGATAGGTACAATTCAATTATACCTAGGTTCAATTCGTTCTATTTTATTGGTAAATAATGAACGCTCCCTTGGAGAAAATATTGCGTATGGAGGGAAACGCACAGAACCTATACAGAGCGACGACAACAAGGATGAAAGGAGAAATAAAGGTTAATTCAAAATGAGCAAAAAGCATCATTTACTTATAAAAATACACATGTATATCATGTAGGTACATCTTGTAAATGCAGCCAGATGAAGATTCCGATAAACTTTCGCGCCAGCTGTGACGCATAGGAAATGACGTAAAATAAAGAGAGCAGTTGTTATTACCAATATCTTTTAAATTAAAAATAGGTTCAATTCAATTGTACCTATCTTTAAATCAAGTATACCCAATCTTCAATTCATTGCATTTGTACCTATCTTCAAATCAATTGTACCTATCTTCAAATGAATTATAGATAGGTATGATTGAATTGTACCCTATCTAAGATAGGTACAATTCAATTGAAGATAGGTACAATTATTTGAAGATAGGTACAGATATTTGAATATATGTTAATTTGGTGTTCCATACTAACGCGCGTTTCTGCACACGCACTGCGTTTATGCAGTTATGAGACTGTATCTTTCTAAAAATAATGATTCATTGCCTAAATAATTACGATATCAAATCCCAACATAGATATGATAAGGTGAAGACACCCATATTTTATTTATTTATTTATCCACATGGAATAAACGACGCTCAAAAGACAAGGGACTAGTTTTGATGGTCACCATGCTCATTCTGCAAAAGGATATCATTATCCACCCATAGGACTGTTGCTGCGATTTGCCCATTTATGACAAATGACTGTTTTGCGCATGGGCAGAACGGTTGCAGATGTGCATTAACATCGGAGAGGACTACTTTGAAAAAAATCACCACTGAAACCACATATCATGTATTTTTTGAAAGTTTTTCAATTAGTTCGCAAACTTTTTAACCTTTCCTGGTATTTGTTGTGACTAGCTCCCCTCGCCTTGAAATTGAGATCATCGAATATTTCGTCTATTTATACTGGGCACCATTTTGGTTTGGAAGATAATTTGGTCCAACGAACTTTCGAGAGCTACAGTTCTGCAGCTGTAATAAGGTGTACGTCCATATTTTGCCATGCCCCCCCCCCCCCCTCTTATATAAAAATGTAAAACGGGAGATACACAATAGCTTTTCTAGTATCTTGGTAATAAAGATGCTGTAAATGTTTTGTAGAGTTGGTAGAGTAATTGTGGACTAGAGATGGGTACCTCCAATATTTTAGAAATAATTTGGGATGTTTAAAGAAAAATGTTTGAATACTAACATAGCTTTTTAATTTTCTAATATATTACTTGATTAGCATAATGCATTATGCATCAACATAAAGTCTGAAATTGTCAGTTTTAAATGTATTCATCCAGGGAGCCTTTCTTTAATTTAGGCACAATGTACATGTGTGTGTTAATATTTAATCAATTGGACTACATCAATATCTTGCTGTATCTATGCTTAACAATACACAATGTACCTTTAACTATGACCTCCCCGACGTGTTCGATTTTTTCTAAGTTAGTCGACGCCACACACGTGTAGTTCTTGCTCTCCGTGACGTTTTTCAGTTGGAGGACATTCTTTCCTATGACAGACTTTCCCAGTTCCGTGGCACCATCCCGCCACATGACGTGTGGCATGGGGGACCCCACCGCCACACAGGTCAGATTGACGCTGCCATTGGGGTCCACCTCCACTCTCTTCTGGGGTAAGAAGGTAAAATGAAGGGGGGCTCGACGTACTGAAAAATAATTGTATATCATAAGTATGTATGGTAATGGTCACGTATTGCACGTAAAAATGCAATTAAAATGTATTTTATTTGTGTTCTTTTTCATAATTCAAGAGAGCAAAAACTACAAATTCAACAGACATTGCACTTGCGTTTATTTGCAACTTGTAGACAAAACTATCTTCAACAAATTCTAAGATAAATTTAAGATTTCAGATAAGAATTTGTAAGCATCAACTTAGTTAGTATATATGGTAATGGTCAAGGTATTGCACGTAAACTGTCCTTAAAATGTATTTTCTTCATGTTCTTGAAATAATTCAAGAGAGCAAAAACTAGACCTTTCAGAGACATTGCACTTGAGATAATCTGCAACTTGTAGACACAACAATTTTTAACAAATTCTGGGATTAATGTTTAATGTAAGATTTCAGATAAGAATTTGTTAACACCAAATTATATATACATGTATATAAACCAAAACCTACAAAAAAAATTTCATAATTGGATGAAAGTAAATAAAAAAAAAAATTCTCTTTTACCAATGAAGATAGTAGTACATTGTACATACCTTTGACGTATAACATCGCAGCATAAGAGTAGGTCACTCCATACTCATTGGTAGCTACACATTCATATTTTCCATAATCTGACTCTAGGGCCTTGGCTATACGTAAAGATCCTGAAAAGACAGACGTTCTATTGATGAAAAAGATTCCCAAATTTCATTTTTGTAAAAGCTATATAATGTTTTTTTTGTGAAAAGCTATCATGGTACAGTTTATCTAATTAAATTAATTCACTATAGAATAAAAAAAAATAGTATTATTGCACCAAGGGTCAGTGATAAGGATACATGTATTTTACATTTACATCAATTTTTTTAAATGTAAATAATTTTCAATTTTTTAATCCCCAATCTACGTAAAAAAGATTCATCCCACCTTCCTAAAAAAACAGTAAAACATATTTTCTACCCATAAAAACAATAAAGATGCAGGATCATTTCTGGTTCCTCTCTGTAAATTATTTAATTCACGTATTAAGTTACCCCGCATGAGTCAACGAACTAACGACCCAGAGAATAAAGGGTGTAAAAACAAAGTTTTGCGGTCAGAGTTTTTTCTATTCCGTCCTATTTCTACACCCCCCCCCCCAAAAAAAAAATCCCTGAGAGAGGCTACATGGTAGGTGGACGTACTGTCGAATCATTTTGAATTAAGTGGGTCAGTGTTCGTGGACAATTACAATTTCACTAGTTCGGTTATTTTGTGGGTAAATCATATACATACAAAAGATTTAATAGCCATTCTCTGTAACCACTTGAACTTCGTTGCCACGCATGGTCACCGATTTTGATGAAACTTCACCCATGCTTAGTACTTGACACCAGAAACAAAAATCAAACAAAATTTCGTTGCTATGTGTCTCGGTTGCTATGGCAACAGCCGGAAAAGTTTGAAAAATCGAGATTTTCAGCCACTTTAAATCTTGACTGTGGCTTAATAAAAACTAGAAAAAGCAAACAAACCATTCTAACAAAAACATGACACCTTAATGTAACTTATACTGTAAAGTAGCTGTTTAGAATATATCTCTAAGTAAGTGGTAACCAAGGGTAAATTTGGAATACATTTAAAATGCTGAAATATGCTGAAAAGCACTCCGTATTCACTAATGGTAGGTGTTACATGCTCAAACTCAATCAACGACTTAAGAAAAACAATGAAAATGTTTGACCTTAAGTATATAAGTATAAGCAATATTATTCTATAAATAACTTTTATGGTTGCCATGGTAACACAGTGTAACCATGCAAAACCAGTAACTAAGATTGGGTTGATGCTACTGTCTTGAGGAAAAACATGAAAATTCAAGACTGGCAAATATGAATCCTTAGGACCTTGCAACACCAAACCATAAGAAAAATTGGGTATAATTGCTACTTTGCAGTGTTACCATGGAAACAAAGTACCAGTGCTTAAAAGTGAATTATTTTTCGCTGCATTAAGAATTAAATTGCCATTTAATCAAGAAACAAATAAAAGGACTCAGCTTGAATAGTACTTATCTGTTAGAACTGAAGTTGAATATCATATATTGATAAAATTTGATGAATAAAACAACACTGTTGCTATGGTTACCAAGAAGGGAAAAATGTTCGATTTTGTGAACTTTATATCAATATTAAAGCCCGTGTGCCAACTTCTTGCATCCACTTATAGATTGGATGATGGTCAAAATAAAAAGTCAAGTTAGCTGTCAATAAATATGAATCATAAAAGTTTTGGGAATCTACATTTAAGGGTACGTATCCAAGGAAAGAAAATATTTTTCAGGTTTTTAAGCATATATCTTCTGCTTATTTCCATAGCAACGCTCTATTTAAAGAATCTAATCTGAATTTTTTCAAATGGGAAAGCTTGGAGCACACCAACATCTTATAAAATTGATCATTAGTTATCAGGAAATGTGCTTTTTTTTAAGATAGGATCCGATTTAAACATACAGAGTGTTGCTTTGAAGGTTCTCTGTGGTGTAAAAACCTTGGCAACCATTGCCAACCAAAATGAAATATCATATTTTGTTTTTGGTATATGTTTTAAGGCTCCTTTTTCTATTATTTGGTCACATTTAATCCTATGATTGCGATTTATTTTTACGTGTATGACTTTATAAAATTCAATGAATATCTTTTTACTTTTGAATACTTTGTTACCATAGTAACGTATGTAATAGTTGATTCACCAACCATGTTTATCATGCATTTGAGACATCTGACCTTCAACTTTTGGAAACAGTCATTGCCAATTGTTTGCTTTGCCGCAAATGTTAACTATGGGGCTCTAAACATGTTAAAAAATGCCATTTTCCGAACTTTAAGACCTGTTGCCATGGTAACAATAAAACATAGCAACCAATTTTTGCCTGATTTCAGTTTAGGGTATCAATGACTTTTATCATAGAGAGTTTGGAGAAATTCTGAGACTATGTGTGCCACAGCTCCTATATAAAATTTCAAATCATTACAGAGAATGGCTCTTAAGAATCTTTACCTTGCCCTAGGTACGAGGGTTGATTTAAAAGTAATGTCACAGTGTCCATATCTTTTATATTTGGCGTCATATTATCAAATACAATACGAGGGCTGTTTAATAAATAATGCCCTGAACTGTATGACATACAATACAGATATATGACATTAAACTTGACTTCCTCTCATTATTGAATCTTTACTGAATTTATAACAGTTTATGTGACCACTTATCATCACATATAGTTTCATTGTGAGAAGCTGGGAAACAAGGGCTATTCGAGACACTGCATTATAAATGACTGGTAAAGAATCAGTAAACTAAAGTGAAAATAAAGGCTACATTAAAGCTGCTGTAAAACTTGTAAAAATCCCAAAGAAATATTCACTGAAATATGTGTCATTTACAGCAACCGAAGACTGTTTTATAGACGAATGAGCAGGTGGATTTCAATGATAAAAAAATTATAACGGGCATCAAAGATGGGTACCCTCCTTGCCAACAAAAATTATAACAATTTATGTACTGTTTGCCAAATTTAGATATGATTGACATTATGACACATAGCAAATTTGATAGACATCATATCGGGAGTAATTTACACTGTTTTTAATAAACGTTTGACACTAAAAAAGCTTGGTACTCAAAGGTCACCCTATATTTTGAAAAAATGAGTGAAAACGACAGCGTGTACGAAAGTCTTAACAATTATTTAAAAATATTAAAGCCATATATGGCGTATGTACAATGAAAACTATTAGACTAAAATTATAAGAACTTATTATTTGTATCATTACTTTATATAAAGATAGAACTTTTCCGTAAATTACAAAATCTAAGTCAATTGCGTTATAAAGATATCACAATTTAATTTGGATTCTCGGAATTTTCTCCGACTCGGAAGAAAATACAAAATATTTAAATAACACATCACAGAGAAGATAAAATCGTATTTTTAGATGAAACGAGGTGTTCTCCGTGTTAAGAATTGTATGAAAAGCTTTAATTTAAATGTATCAACTATATTTCTTTACTAAATTTTGTATTTTTCAAAAATATATTTTTTTGATCAGTTACGCCATATATGGCTTTAATAATTGTAGTTATCAACGTTTGTTTTATATTCAAACAGATATTGGAACATGAATCTATTGCTCAAAATCATCAAAACAAAATTTACCATAAGATGTACTTGATAAGAACGGCGAAGGTCTGACAAGAGCAAAGGTTTGCAAGAGCACAAAGACAGATTTTTATTCAATTTTCTAAAATATTAGTGGTATTGTTGTTCAAATTCGTATTCAGGGAGGCAGTTTAATATCTGGAGGAGTCTAGAAAGCAATTTAAAAAAAAAAAAATTGAAAGGTTTATTAGAGGAAGGAATCAGGAATCCACTACGTTGAATTTCTTCATGACAGCGTCCAAACCCGCATGCCCTGAAGAGTAAAGGGGTTTTCGGGATAAACAGAAAGTTAATGGTTTTTCATATTAACAATATTTGCCAGATCTTTGACCTTTTGACTTGTTTCTATTTCCAAACTTGAAAAAAAAAAACTTTCAGAAGGAAAAAAAACAAGCCCAGGAAATCATTGGAGCTTCCATTTTCCAGTATACTAAGGGTCATACCCAAAAATGAATTCTAAAAACAATCAGAAATTGGATGAAAAATGTTACGGACATTTGCTTGAATTAAAAGAGATTAATAAGTAAAATCAAAAAGACTAAATCATTGAAAAGCGCCGTTTACTTCTTTCTGAGCACCGAGGACATTATTTATTGAACAGCCCTCGTATACCAAAAGATACACAAATATAAATCTAATTAACATTTAAATTTTAATTCAATAATGTTTATTTCATTTTATTTTATAAATGTTTAGGGATATCCGATCCTCAGCCAGGAAGGATAACTCCAAAAATTAATATCTAATTTAAAATGCATCAAAATAAAGCTTGAAAATGAAATTTTTTCATTTTATTCATCTTTATGAGATTCAAGGTTTGTGGAAGTCTTAGAAAACGTTTTATAAAAGTTGAAATTTGTACCCTATAAAAGGAAAAAAAATACAGTTTTAGAAAATTAAGATTTTCTTGAATCCAGCCTTAGATACCAATGCTTATTTGCATGATATGAAATGAGAAGTAATTTGCAGTGTCTGGCAATGATAGATAAAGCCTTTTACACTATGTATTATAGAATACATGACGGAAATGGAAGACAAAAAATACAAAATTAAGATAAGTATAAAAACCATGACAATTTCTCTGAATGCCTTGATACCTATCGTTTTTTAACCTAAAATATATTTGTTGATCAATTTGCAATTATAAAATGCATTGCTGATATTCCAATTCGCTTTTTCTGCAAAATATTGGAGATTTGACAATTTTCCCTAATAAAATGCTTTAATCTTTAACTTTAATTTAAGAAATACTGTGGATTTACATTTTGATTTACACAACTTTGTGGATTCAGAGATACTTTTATGGGTATGTTTGCTTACTTAACTGCTAGTTTTAAACCTGAGGATCGGACTACCTTAAAAATAAAGCATACTAGGGGGTGTCGCCGCGTCATAACGGAACGTCACGTTTTACAGTGTATTTTTTTTTTTTAGAATGAAAAAGACTAACACATGAAAAAGATTCTAAAAACCGCACCTAATCTCCCAATTTTTTTAACAATTCTTTCATTTTCTAGTCTTTTATTGAAAATTATAATTAAATGACGGCATTGGTATTTGTGATCATAAACATTGTTCTTTTACTCTGTTGAATTGAACAAAGGGATTGTCGAAATGGGAGAAAAACGGCTCGATGAGTTGTAATGCATTTGTTACTTCAAAATATGGGAATCATCATAAGCGACATTAACGTTAATTATTCAGACTTACTGTTACAGAATAAAGAATCTAAATAAGAGACATCTTATAGATGGTTTCAGCAAATCTGGGCGGGTGAATGGTCACTGAATGATCAGCAGAGGACAGAAAGACCGAAAGATAGGAGATCTGACAGAAACGTTCGATGGTTTGATGTCAAAAAAGACAGACGTATAGAGTGACATGCATAATGTGAATTCTTTCTAAGTTTGTCTTTGCTACTGTTCAAAATTTTTGACAGAGGGCTTAACTATGAAACGAGTGAGTGTATAATGGTACCAAGAACTCTTAAAAGAAAGTGGAATTGTTGGAAGTGTTTGCGAAACACAAATATTTTTTAATGAAACGAAGGGGAAACGCTTAAAAGTATGACGATGCGTATCCGTCATATGACGTTATATTTAGGTGCGGCGACTACCATAAACGCACATTGTTTAAAATCCGATATTATGGAAATTATAAATCATAATCCTTTAAATTTTTCAGGTCTGATTTGAAATAAATAAAGCATCCATCATGTAAATTTTTTTTGCTTTACGTCGATTTATAGCAATTTTATCAAAGTTGTGACATTACTTTTGGATCAACCCTCGTAATTGTTCTGAGAGATATTTATATTCGTGGCTAGGATTGACCCCAAAAATCCACAGTATGCCTTAAATCTTAATAGGAGTTAATTTCTTTCATTAAACATTGAAGCAAGTACCCTACAAATTTTGAACAGGTAACATTGTTGCAAATAAATTTAATTTGAAAAATCATTTATGATTAATATTTTGTACTTTGAATTGACATTACAATTTATCATTTTTCTGGCAACTAAGTACCTGTTTCAGTGAGTGTGAACCGTTTGTTGTCACCCAGATCTACAGGGACACCATTTTTGAACCACTCGATATCAAACTTGTGTCCATTAGCATCCGCTTGACACTGCATAATGGCAGGCTTCCCTTTCTCAGCAGATTTTAGCTTTGGATTTACAACAATTCTAGGATATCCCAGTGGAATTTCTGAAGAAAAAAACAAAAGCAAAGATGAATAATTAAAACTAGTAGTAGCTTTTTTTTCATCTTACTAGTATTTCTCCGCTTGCATGGATTGGTTGTGCATCAATCTTTATCTATCATCCTTAAAATGAGCTTTAAACGTCCGTTTATGGAAATTAAAGAGCAAAAAATTTCAGCAAAACCACAAATTTTTCCAGTCGATGCAATTGTCCAGAAATGTTAGCACAATCCGTAAGTCTTTCGAACGGCAAATTGCACTAAATTGGAAGGTAATGCATTCTTACAACCAGTGGGCATGTCTTTGGATCCAAAGAATTCATTAGCCAAGAATGTTTACAAATATGTTTTCCAAGTGCAAAAAATCACCGCTTCGGAGTTGAAACCCCATTTGATAATTAACCGAAACCCCACATGTGCCCCTTTACACGGTGATACTTACCATTTATGGATTCAAATGCCCCGATGCCCCTGTCCCATCTCCAATAAGTTACGCTTCGGCTCGTATTCAATGTACACATTTTTATTACTAGTATATAGAGCTGACAGTTCACTTAAGAAAAAAAGATATTTGAGAATTCCTGAGGATATGTACAACACTTCGTTCTATATTGTATGTGTTTCTTGAAGCGCTCCATATGATAAGAGTAATAAGTAGTAATGTAATCGGGATCAAAAACTTGGTTTGGTCCTATTTTTTCATTTTATACAAGTACGAGTCCCTACATCAAGAGATGAACTTGAGAGCTATCCCCAAAAGGAAAAAATAAAATCCCTACGGGCCTCAATTAAGGCTCACATAGGGCACTTTTGTGTGCTGTTCTTCGAGAAAATAAATGTTAGACCCAATAACGTGAATCGATCTTTAATTGAATTGATCAAACTTGAATCCCCATTTCAATATCAATATGACCTTGCTGTTTAAAAATGGAAATTTTTTATGATTCTGTCCCCTGTTTTTGCATGCACCATGCAAAATTTTATTCCATTCCAGCCCGCTATCACATCAAAGTCAATGTGAAGTTTTTCCATTACACTCATCATCTTTTAACAACAAGACCTATTTGTCCTTTTACCATTTTCATCCCTGTCAATGCGGTAAACCTTTAGACGCCCCGTACTCCTGGCTGGATCCCCCACTCCATTCTCAGCCACACAGGTAAAGGTTTTACCATTGTCTGTATTCCGCACAGTGTCAATTCTCAAGACACTACCATACGGCATGTCAAATACGTTGAATCTCCTCCTCATGTTCAACTTTTTCCCATCTTTTTCCCAATAAAAATTAGGTTGTGGATTTCCATAAGCTTTACAGACAAAACTGACCACAAGTCCCTCAGCCACGGTCAGGTCCCGAACCTCCTGGGTCATTACTGGCACAGTTTTTGTCAATGCTATAAAGTCATACGAAGTCTCCCTATCTGAAAAATAGAAATAGCTAGCATAAAAGGAGAAAATAAGCAGAAAACAATATACGTATGTTCATCCATTTCCCCGATGAAATGTGGGCTGTGGATTTCCAGGAACCGTACAAACAACACTGACAACTAGTTTTTCAACCACGAATTTAACAGGTTCAAACTCCCACAAGTCAGTGCAGTATACAAATACAAACAGATGTAAATGCATTGAAATACCGTATAAACAAGGTGAACGTAAGATAACCAGCACCTGTCGCCATTCTAACCAGATACCCGTGACAACTAGAAGTACTGTGAGCACTGACTTCACTAAGATACTCCCGCCTCCCATATGATAATAATTAATAAAAATGATGAAAAAGGTGAAGATGGCGAACAGGATCGATCTATTAAAAAAACACAAACAATACAACTCTATGAGCAGTGTATAAAACACGAACCTCTGGAAATTTCAGAGGTGGGATCAGGTGCCTAGGAGGATAAAATATTTCCATTTCTATTTGTTTTTCTCTGTGATAACTTTTTAAATGTTACTTTGGTTAATTTCTTGATAATTATACTGGTACGTAAATTTAGCTAAGTGAAAGATCAGTGTCTAAAGTCAGTGGGCGGGTACTTTGAAATTCACTTTGGAAACCTCGTGTAATTTAAATCTATTACATAACATTTTTAGTAAAGTATTGTAAGATTTTAGTAGCCTGTAAGTAAATTCTTCAAAATTTGTAACAATATCACGTGTTAATATTGATTCAAAAAAGGTGTATTTTTGTGACAAGTCCTTTCTTTGGGTACCAACATGTCTGACCTTTTGACCTTGACCAACATATCTGACCCTGATTTTGATCCAAAGATCGAAAGACAGACAGCCAGATAAACAGATATATCAATTTCAGTATACCCGGGTCAACATTTCGTTTGCGGGAGGGGGTTAGAGCTACATTAGGGTGTATGTGGATGCCTTAAGAGGACAGATGTCATAGTATTCATATATTGGGTGTGTTTTTAGTGTTTCAATAAGAGTATAGTGCCAACCAATTTATTGAAATGTTATCTGATTTTCCACTGTACAGTATTTTGTAGCTGCTGCCTGTATCTGAAACTCAAGCAGTTTGGTATGAATTTGTGAAGAACAGTCCATATTACTTGTAAAAAGGAATTTTTGTGTCACGGGAAGGGGGGGGGGTTAAAATATTTTCCGTTTTCCGTTGATTTCTATTGTGAACAAGTTTTACCAAAATTTTATAATTATCTCTTTTTGTTTTCCCAAATAAGTAATGTTTATGAAAATCCATATAGTTATCTATAAAAAATAACTTAAATTCATCGAATTTGTTGATTTTTAATAATTTACTTCGAGGTAGGCGGGAGAACAAAACTATCGTTTGCAGTTCTTAGTTATTTAACGGTTAAATGCTTTTCATTCGATTTCACGAAAGAAATATTTCTCAAGGAGAAAGCGATATCTGTTCAATCTACTAGATATCTCTATAAGTATAAGAGATATCTCTCTAAGTTGAAGAGATGTCTCTTAATTTCTCGTAGAAATATCTCTTTAAGTTGGAAGATATCTTTATTTTTAAAGAGATGTCTCTCTAAAATGAGAATATCTCTGTAATTTTAAGATAAATTTTGTTTTCCGAATAATATTAAGCAAAAGGGCTTGCCATACTTCCTCAGCTCCTGACCATCACTTGGCGAAATTTACATACTGGTAAAATTATTAAGAAATTTTAAAGAGTCATTCCAGAGAAAACAAATGGAAATGGAAATATTTTATCTACATAGGCACCTGATCCCATCTATGAAATTTCCAGAGGTCTGTGTTTTATATCCTGATCACAGATTTCTATTATTTGTAGTTTTTTTAAGGTCGACCGTAAACTATACTTAACTTCGAAAACAATCATTTGCAATTGCAAAACATAGATTATCTGATAAATACAGCTTCACGATTTGTAACCTATAGTTTACAAACCGTTAACTATAGTTAACGATCTGATAAATATAGTTTCACGATTTGTGAAACTATGATTAACAACTCTTAACTATAGTTTACGATTGTAAATTATAGTTTACAAACGTGAATCTATGTTTATCAACAAAATCTATTGTTAACGCTTTATTCAGACAGATAAACTTAGATTAGCATTCGTAAACCATAGTTAACGACCGTTAGATATAGTTTTACAGATGAAAACTATACTAAACGAATCGTTAACTATTGTAAACTATAGTTTACAGTCGATAAACATAGTTTATCAATTGTGAAACTAGGTTTATCTCATTTTTGTGAATTTGGCGTGTCATATCGATCGGTATTCGCTATCTTCACCTTTTTCATAGAAATCATCAAAGATAGATATTTTGTATAGACACCTCTAATTTTGAGACCAACCTGCAGGTTTATCCAATACACGCTGACCAATAACTCCACTCAGAAATACCAGTATAATAACACAATACGCTAAGCAAAACTTCCTAGAAACTAATTCCATATTGTTTCACAAGTTTTCATCAAATATCAGAAATCCCAATCCTTCCCAGAATAAGAGGACAATGATCTCAAAAGCTTGCCGCTACAACCTAAATAAGTTCACTGATATTATAATATCATTAATAGGATAATTGATTTAACTTACTATCGTTTCTCATTTCTATTTCAAATGCAATTCCTGGGGATTTTTTTGTTTTGTATATACATGTATTATATTTTGTATAAAATGATTCACGATTTTAGAAAACGTTACGAGAAGAGGAGAGGCAATTTTATCACCGAGGAGGTTTGGATCCGGGGTAATCTGGGTATGCGGTATATTATCGCATCATCAGGCGCACCATCAGGGTTTGGGTCCATAGTGCGATGATACGCTAATTCAGTATAACGATGCTGCGATCGTCATCGCATTGTCGTGATATTGCTTCATCGTGCCATCGATCCATCGGTCGATGCTCGATAGTGCGATAGTGAACTCCATGGCCCAACCCAGATTCCATATTTTTCTATCTACTGTATTAAGGTCATACGCAATGTAGTTTGAACTTTATTGGTTTCTTCCTTAGAGTTGAAGAGTTCCACCAAACGAAGGACCTTTGTGCAATACTTTAAATGTCTACATATAGATAAGTACACCTCTTCTAACAATAATTTTGATAGAAGAAATCTTGAATTTGTGTTTCGTAATTTTTGTAAATTTTTCTTTGAATAATGCAAAAATTTTCATAATTTGATATCTTCCGAAAAACCCTGGTAATACATGCTGATTTTTTGTCTATGAACATCTGATGGCACAATAATCTAAAATTAGGAATATCTTGAAAAACTATCAGTAGGTAAGGTACCTTGCGTATGTCCTTCAATTTGATTTTTTTAAAAACTAAAATTCAGAAACATGCTTTTTCGCTTTTTGAATAGAATTTGTTTATCTAATTATACTCATAAATCTTATTATATAACTACAGATGAACATTTAAAGTTGACCTTTTCTGCAACCCTCAAATTACATGCAGGTCTCATTATTTTTGGAATAATTACCCTATACAAGAACCCATAACCTTAAATCAGCATAATAGTTTTACATTGAAAATGAAATGAAAATGTCAAATAAATATTCTGTTTGGTGGAAATCTGATGAAGAAAATTCAACAAGTCATGGAAACACTGTACCTTCCTTCTGAAGAAAGAGTGGTTGAACATTCAATGGACTGTGCGATAGTAAAATGTCCATTGCACGCCCATCTGTTTGTAAAAAAATCTACTCCTTCTCCTGTTTTATCCCATTTGATTGATTGATTGTATGATATTTAATGTCCCACTCTAGAATCTTTCACTCATATGGAGACATCGCCGTATACCGGTGAAGGACTTCAAATTTAGACCTATACCCAGCACTCAGGGCTATTGAGCAGTGAAGGTTCTTTTTCGCGCCAACGCCTACCGCGACACGGGACCGGGGTATTCAATGTATAACGACCATATTTTGTACCTAATAAATGAATGGTCCGATATTTTTAATCATGGTAGCATTTTGAAGATGGTATCAAATAAAAGTACTCCACCAAAGGAATGTACAAAATTTTAATTATTGTCCGTTTATCTAATTTCACCTTGAATTTTACATTGAAGTCTATGGGCAGCACTATACAGTAATTGACTGGGTATGAGGGCAACATATGATTTGTTGAACCTGAAGATGAAAATGTTGCCCGAGGCCACAGGCTGTTTTGTTATACCCTTCAGTGCTCACATAAGATTTAATCAATACACACTATACTATATGAATTACTTTATATGAAAAAAAAATTATGGCTTAATCAGTAAATATTGTACAATTATTGCTGTTTTTGAGGTCAATACGGTGATTTAGATATCTGAGGAGTACAATATTCACTGAACCCGAAGGGCGAAGTGAATATTGTACTTTGAAGGTGGCAAAATCATCGTATTGACCTCAATAGATAGCAATAACTGTTTTATTATATGATTAAATGACAGCAAAGACTTACAAGGCTGGTTTTTTTAATTGAAACTTTTTTAAACGAGAAATTTCAACAAGAACACATTGTTACAAGAAAAATGGAACAGCAATATTTCCTTATATTGACCTGCAATAATTCCTTGTATTGACCTGGAATGTCACGTGATTCATTATTTTAACCTGCAAGAATTCCTTGTATTGACCTGGAAGGTCAAGTGCAGGTCAATATAACGTAATATTTTTCTAACATTGTTGGATTTCAACCAATCAATGAGAGGGAAATTATTCAATCATATAATAAAACACAATAGCTGAGAAAGAACTAAATTGATTATATTTTTATTATAAATCACAAAAATTATTTATCACAAAACTATTGGGCGCCGTTTTGGTATTTACTGCAAAAAGTGATATCACCTATTCGAACCCCGGCCTCCCGATCATGAAGCGAACGCACTAACCTGTCCCATTTGAATATAACCTGGTACAATAGTATATTAAACTAAGATGCATAATGAGTTTGATTTCGATAATCGCGGCGTTGTAATGATTACTAATATTACATTTTCTGTGAAGTACTTTTAAAATGCTATTCCTCGTGTGACATTTGGAAAATTTCAATATAAATTGTAAAAGAAGTAGACTACACATACACTAAGATGCATTATACGTACGTATTCGATGTGGTGTGGCGGTTTGATTTAAGTGAAAGGGGTTGTCATGGTCACTGAAAATAGACATTTCTATGATTCATTTCAAAACGTTTCTCTTCCAGCAGTTTAGTCATATTTCAAAATAAATGGTATTCTTATATCAGAAACATATTTGCCAATAGGCTGTCTCGTTCTGGAAAATTGTTGTATGTAGAGCAAGCTCTTTTGAATCGAATCGAACTTCCTATACAGGTGATAAGAGTTTGCTACAAAAGTAAGGGAAATTGACAATTTTCACCTTCCTCTCAAGAGCCACTGGGCCAATTTCAACCAAAATTGCCGAAGTATCCTTGGGTAAAGAGGATTCAAGTTTGTTCAAATGATGGGTCACGCCCTCTACCAAGGAGAGATGCTTATGAATTAGTGATAAATTAAAGGTATCTTTTCAAAGTATTCCTCTCAAAAAGCATTGGGAAAGGAAAAATGAAACTCATTTGGAAGCATCCTCGTGTAGTGAAAATTCAAGGTTGTTCAAATCATGAGCCCCTGGGTAGGGCGGGGCCACAATGGGGTATCAAAGTTTAACACAGGAATACATGGGGGAAAATCTTTTAAAATCATCTCAAGAATCACTGGACGGGAAAGATGAAACTCGTATAGAAGCATCCTCTGGTAATGAAAATTCAAGTTTGTTCAAATCATGACCCTAGGGGGTATGTTGGGGCCACAGTGGGTAATCAAATTCTTTACAAAGCCATGATTCATCATCAATATATAAGAATAAAAAAAGGTAATGTAGATTTAAATTTGTTCAAGATATGACCAATCAGGAAAACAGAGGAGCAATTCAAGTGGATCATAACAAAGAAATAATGGTTGTGTCAATAAAAATTTTCATCTTTTAAACAGCAAAGTCAATAAGTGTCATATAAATTCAAAGGCATTTTCAGGAAGTATAATCAAATTTGGTTTTCACTAAGATACATTTATTATATCTTTGGATATTAACAATTATGATTACATGGTTACTGTCAGTCACGTAGGATCGTTTTTGAAAGCCAGAGAAATTTTTTTTTACTTTTCATGAAGAAGTTGACAAGCTAATTAAAAAAAAAGAAAAAAAGAAAAGTTTTCGAAAGTCGAAAATCCTATTTCTGGGTGGTAGGATGGGGTGGAAAGGGGGGTAGAGGCCAACTGTTTTTCAATACAAGTTCTTTCAGTACCAATTTTTATACTACTTTTTTCTTATACCACATAATGTTGGGGGGGAGGGGGGGGGGGCAACCAGCCTATCCATGAACATTTCCTATAGTATAAGTGTAAGGTTGGGTAAAAAAATAAAAAGCCTCCTACAGTTTTTGGTCTGATTTTAATATAACTTAGCACACAAGTAGACTACATTAAAATACATAATTCTATTTATTGCTGCCTGTTGTAAAGTTTCAAATCCAAGTGCTACTTTGCCTTTGTTATACATACAGAGTACAGACCAGTAGAGCTACAGCCTCATCAGATACTTCTGGTACATTGAAGCAAGTATACCCTACAATTTTTCGAAAGATGACATTGTTGCAAATGAATTTGAAAAATTATTCCTGATTAAAATTTGGTACCAATATATAATGGTATTAATGCTACAGAGTATAATGCACCGTATCATTTTTCTGGCAACTAAGTACCTGTTTCAGCGATTGTGAGCCTTTTGTTGTCACCCACGTCTAAATGGATGCAATTTTTGAACCACTTGATGTCAAACTTGTGTCAATCAGCATCCGCTTGACACTCCATGATGGCTGGTTTTTCTTTCTCCACAGATTTTAAATCAGGATTTACAACAATTTTAGGATATCCCAGTGGAATTTCTGAAGAAAAAAAAACAATAAAGGTGAATATAATTAAAACTGGTAGTAGCTTTTTTAACCTACTGGTATTTCGCCGCTAAATGAGGAAACCTATTTCTGGTGATTGCATTTCAATTAATTTAAAGTACATGTATATGCAAATTAACACTTTCAAATGAGGAAGCTCCTCAATCTGTGGCATTTGAGCACTAGACACTGATCATTATAAAATGGTTCATAATGCTATAGTTTTTTAACGTTGATAATGTTACTTTAAAAATGTCCTGATCACTCTAAAAAGCAACTACATTTACTATATACTTACCATCAATATATTCAAATGTCTCGATGACCCTGTTCCTCCTTCCACCCTCCAATACCTTACGCTTAGACTTGCATTCAATATTTACATTTTTATTACTTGTATAGGCGGACGGTTCACTTTAGAAATGAAGAGTTTTTGATAATTCATGAGGTTATGTACAACACTTCTCTATATCCCCAAACGAACCAAAAGGAATATATAAAATCCTTACGGGCAACAAGGCTCACATGGGGGGGGGGGGCTCTTTCGACTGCTCTTTTTCGAAAAATTAAGTGTTAGACCCAATATTAACTGAATCGATCTTTAATCTACTTGATCAAACTTGAATCCACATAAAAGAAATGTTTCAATATCAATATGACCTTGCTGTTTAAAAATGAAAATTTTCATGATTCTTCCCCCTTTTTATTGTATGCATCATGCAAAATTTTCTTCCCGCCCGCTCTCACATCAAAGTAATTGTGAAGTTTGTCCATAACACTCTTTATCTCTTAACACCAAGACCTAATTGTCTTTTTACCAATTCCTTCTCTGTCAATGCGGTAAACCTTTAGACTCCCCGTACTTCTGGCTGGATCCCCCACTCCATTCTCCGCCACACAGGTAAAGGTACTATCACTGTCCTTATTCCGAACCATCTCAATCCTCAAAACGTCACCAAACGGCATGTCAAATATTTTGATTCTTCTCCCCCTGTTCACCCTTTTCCCGTCTCTTTCCCAGTAAAACCTACGTTGTGGATTTCCAGAGGCTTTACAGACAAAACTGACCACAAGTTCCTCAGCTACGGCCAGATTCCGAACCTCCTGAGTAATTACTGGCGCAGTTTTTATCAAGGCTTAAAAGTCATATGAATTCTCCCTATATCAAAAATAGAAATAGCATAAAAGGAGAAAATCAGCAGAAAACAATATATGTATGTTCATACCCCCTTTTACCCAATGATACGTAGGCTGTGGGTTTCCAGGAAATACTTTTATTGAAACACAAGGGTCAGAAATGTTGATACCCAAAGAAATGACTTGACACAAAAATACACCTTTTAGAATTAATTTAACACATGTGATATTGTTGCAAATTTTGAAGATTTTACTTAAAAGCTAATTTATCTTACAATAGACTACTTGACTCAGGTTAAATTTTAAGTGTTTAGTAGTATACATGTATTTATTTAGTTTAAACAATTTTACTTTGTCTAATAGTCTTAAATTACCCAAGGTCTCCAAAGTCCAATTTCAAAATCATCGCCCATTGACGTTAGACACTGACCTTTCACTTGACGAAATTTACATACTGGTATAATTATCAAGAAATCAACTCAAGTAAATCTTACAGAGTTATAACAGAGAAAAACAAATAGAAAAAGAAATATTTTACCCACATAGGCACCTTATCCCACCTCTGAAATTTCCAGAGGTTCGTGTTATTATGCCCTGCTCACAGATCTTTAGTGTTTGCAGGATTTTTGAGTTCGGTCATGTTCGCTATCTTCACCTTTTTCTTATAAATTTGGGATGACGAAATTTAAAAAAAAATGGGTATTGTATAGACACCTCTAATTTTGAGACCAACCTGCAGGTCCATCCGGTACACGCTGACCAATAACTCCACTCAGAAATACCAATGTAATAACACAATATGTTATACAGAACTTCCTAGAAACTAATTCCATATTCCATATTGTTTGACAAGTTTTCATCAAATATCAGAAATCCCAATCCCTCCCAGAATAAGATAATAATGATCTCAAAAGTTTGCCGCTACAACCTAAATAAGTTCACTCAAATTATGTAATAGGGTAATTGATGGACTTTGTTCTTGTTTCTCCCTTTTAGTTCAAATGCAAGTCCAATGTTCAAGAGTTTTGTTTTGAGGCATACATTCTGATTTCTTGGTACTTACATGTAATACGACCTTTATTATATAATAATGATTTTTTTTACACAAATTACCTTTCCTTGGTTCGAAAAGATTTCACATAATGATAACATGTATATACTATAATCCTTTTGTCACTTAGTATTGGTGAAGAAAATATTTGCTGGTAATAATCTTACTGCATTTGTTGTTATGCTCTTTTCTGAAATAGATAAATCTGAACGGTTTTTGAGGACAGATGATACAAACAAATTTTTGTCTAAAAGTTTGAAAATAACAACTTGAGTCATGTTGTAATGAATCATTTGAATAAGTTTGACCGCGTAGTTTTTAATTTTTTTATTCAACGTTACACAAAAATGGAATTTGAAGTGAAAAATTTGTATAGAATAATAAGGATGGTTTCAGAAGGGTTGAATTTTGAACGTCACAGAAAGTTTACAATTTCTTTATATTCTGGAAATTTATTATTTTAATCGTTTGCAATGAAATTAGGTCAAAAAATGTGAACAAATCCAGGCATCCATTTATTATTTGTATCATCTGTCCTTAAAACAGTTTTTAAAAAGGCAATACATTGAAACTTTCAAAATTTATCGAATGTATTTTTCGTTTTTTGTAATCGTTGTGATAGTGAATTTCTTTATTGTTTATAATATAGCAAAATAATTTGCACAGGAAAAAAAGCCCTGCACCGCACTTTGCATATGAAATATTTCCAATACTCCCTTAAATTTTGGGAATCTAGACAAAACTTTGTCACTTTGTCACAGAAAGTCACGAATTAAGAGTATTGATGTAATATATGAGATAAGTTTCTCTTATTTTCCGTTCAGCATGTACTCTGTTATAAAAGACAGTACTTACTCACATATGAAGACACACGTATCCAATCCGTGTCTGCAAGGCATGTTGTTTTATTTCAATAGATTTTTGGTTTGTAATTCGTGCGTATCCAAAAGTATCCCCCAAACAGATTAATAAATGCTTCACCCAATCGACTTATTTAAATGTGCAAATCATTGATTCAAATTTCGTGATGTTTACTGACCTTCCCAGTCGACTCCGCCATTTTCTCTGTTGCAAATTACGTCTTTGCTAAGGAATTTAGGCTGGACCCCATAGTTATTTATTTTATTTATGTTTTAGTGATTTCACAAAAACGCTGAAATTGCTCAATTTTAATCTTGTTCTATGCCAAGTGTGCCAATATTTTGCTTTGATTCATTGTACTGGCGCACCCGTGGGCTGCTGCTTCGTTCTAGGGCATCAATTAAGCATTGAATTCATATTTTGGGATGTCTTCTGTCCTATAACACACCTGGCCGTGCCGATAAATTGAATTGATAATTCATCGGCACGGCAAGGTGTGTTATAGGACCGAAGATATCCCAAAACATGAATTCAATGCTTATATTTACATTCCCTAATTTTTCTTTATCATAATTTTTTATTTCCTTCTTGTTTAATGTGAATTTAGCGCCTTTCGGTATTGGTGTGCTTAATAAACGTAATAGCCGTTTGTGACGTTGGAAAGCCGTTTGTGACGTTGGAAAATTAAATAACGCAAACATTGCGGGGAAATAAAATGACAAATTAGTTCTTAATGCATATTTGCTGTTTTTATGTTAATTTTAAAAGGGTAGGTTTTTTTTATTATGAAATTGGATCAAAACAATATACATTTTGGTATTCCTAATTATCGAAAATGCATTTAGTTCCTACGTATATTCTACCGCGCTGACAAGGTTTCGCGTGTGTTATAGAAATTTGAACGTCGTGGATTTCTAATGGATTTCATAAAGAAAATTAGACTGAATGTAAATATTGTTTTTTTTTCATTCCTGTTCTTTTCGTTCTTTATTTGGAATCAAATACTTGGTCTCTATTTATTAAATAAAAAAAACATTACGAAAGAATTGGCTTATCTGGAAATATTTTTCAAATACACTCTGAGATCACAATGACATTATAAAAAAAGAGTATTGTTACTATTTTGTAGTTTTTGAAAGCTCTTGAAACATCTACATGTAGCTCAGGGAAAAATGTAGCTATAGGACCAATGCTTTTGTAAATATGTATATGAATGAGTGTATACCAACAAAATTGTTCACATAATTTTATTTTTTCCCCTCTCCCTTCAGAAAAAGAAGCCCACAGATGCAAACAAGAATCAGAAGTCGATAACTTTGTTCTTCACAAAAAGTCGATTTTAGGTATTTGTATTTGTTTCTAAAACCTAACATGTTTGTTGATACTTGACATGTTTGATGAATGAACAGGCACGTAGCATCGTTTTTGAAAGTGGGGGGGGGGCCAACCTAAGAAAATTTTGTTTGATTTTACCTAAAAAAAAAGTTGACAAGCAAAAATAAAAAAAAAATAAAAAAACGAAAATTGAAAAGTACCCAAACTCGAAAATCCTATTTCGGGGGGTGGGGGGGGGGGGGGGGGGGGGGGGGGGGTAGTGGCCAAATTTTTTCAAGCCAAACTTCCTTTCACTTCCAATTTTTTTTCCTATATATAACTTGCTATGTATATACTGTGGTAAAAAGTGGGGGGCCAACCATCTTTTCAATAGACATTTTCTATAGTAAAGGTAATGTTGGGAAAAAAGTGGGGGGGGGGGGGGCAGGCCCCCCTGGCCCCACCGGATACTACGTGCCTGATGAATTCATTACTGTATTACTGGGTATATACAGTCATATCATGAACTCATATTATTGTGCTTTAACGCATTTTTAATTTTGAAATAAAGCGTACATATATTATATAGAACTGTAATATTTGTTAAAAATATAATACTAGTATGTAAACAAAAAAATTATCAAATTAATTTTGAAATTTATACTTCTGTAATTTTTTTTTAAGAAAGTTCGTTAGAATTATATTTATATAATATATTCTGAATAGTGACAATAGTGAATAAATGAATATTTTTATAATTTATTTCTTTTTTCATTACTGAAATGTATATGTTTTGAAATGTTAAAATTCTACCAACAATGGGCAATAACAGGTTTGTTGCAACTACGAGGGGTGTTAGAAAAGTTCGCGGACAAGTTCTATTGTGAGCGCTCAGATAAATATTAACCTATATTCCAATAAATATCCAAAACTTTGGTGCTCTCCGGTGCTCATAGAAAAAATATACAGCTTCTATTTTGATAAATCTTGCTTCACGGAGCATGCTACATTTTGGCACGTTTACATCACATAGACTTTTTATCAAAATTAAAAATTGCACAATTGTAGTGCAAAGAGATTTGTGATATTTTACCTGTCGCAAAAGTATCCATGAAACATCACTGGGAGAAATTTTGGATCAAATTGGAGAGTATATGACTGTTTTATAGCCATTTATAAATGATCAACGCATAAAAACACAGTTAAAAATCAGAACGTCATTGAGCGTCATGGAGCACTGCACTACGTAAAAATTATGTATGCAGACAGGAAAATGTCTAAAAAGAGATTAAAAAGTGCAAGATGCTGCAGGGAATTTCCTAGACATACAAAGGACAAAAGTTTTCAAATGGTTGTAGCTTCATAAGAATGGAAGGAGTAACATTTTGAATAATTAACTCCATCGATACTTCAATAACCCTTTATTGCATTGACGTTGTGCCTTTATGGTTTTGCATAGTTTCCATACCTGATCGATTAACTGCATAGACTTTTTTCCCAAACATCTCAATAATATCCGAATCAGTACAAAAGACATTATAGTAGAAAAAGTAACATGTCTTGATATAGATATTCAAATTTAGAGTAGAAAAAAGATAATAAAAATATGGAAAAAATGACAGATTTAATGAACTGCGAAAAAGCTTAACCTGTCAACGGGTTGAAATCTGTCGCCTTACGTCAAGTGATTGCTCCGTGAATCCCATGACCTCATAGTAAAAATCCTTGTAAATTTTCAAGATTGTAGTAAATGGACCTGATTTTTTACATACAAATAAACATAATGTAGGAATTTATTCAGACATAGGTCATACTTCACAGTACACAATAGATTTTCCGTAATTCAATGTGTCCGCGAACTTTTCTAACAACCCTCGTACTTTGGTGAAAAGCTCCAAATATGAGAATCTATATGTTGTTTTTTAATTAAAAAATCTTTGTAACTCAGATCATCTTAACAACAAAGACACAAAATGCAACAGAAAAATTGATAACAAATTTCAGATCTTGCATTATGGAAACAAACACACATTGAACACATGGTGTTTTAAGAAGTTAAGTTTATTGAAATTAAGTGCAGTAGATCTTGACATTTATCCAATAAAGTTTTCAATTGATATCTTGGTAGCCTGTCCAAATCTACATGATCACACCTTAACCACTACTGGCTGCAAAAAAAAATGTAGATTGCAAATAAGAATTGTGAATTAAGCATATATAATAAAATTGATAAAAACAATAAGTGTATTTTAAACAAAACATTGATATTTATGTGTAATTCTTTAGAGAATTTCTAAAATATCAAATGTGCAGTTCAGAGATATTTTATAGGTTTCATTTCTTATGTATCTTTAATTATTGAAATGATTATAAAAATGTTAAGGCACTGTGAGCATTCAGATCACAAAGTGACCTGTGTGGTATAGGAAGAGTTGTGCATATGAGTTGGGAAACCTTAACTAAGTAACAAGGCCAGGAAAGTCACTGGATGGACAGGCACCCTGATTACTATGCATCCTCTGATTTTCAGGGAGGGGGGGTTGTTTTAAATGTAATCATCCAGCCATTCTTTAATTCAGGTACAATGTACAGACTTGTGCTAATATTCAATCGGACCACATGGATCCATGGATCTTGCTATATCGATAGAATACGATATACCTTTAACTGTAACCTCTCCAACATCTTTGATGTATCCTAAGTTATTTGACGCCATA